CAATAGCGACATGAAATTGCAGGTCATATAGGCTTGATCAGGGGCGATTCTATGATTTTTATTTTAGGGGGGCTCAGCCCCCACTGAGGGTATAATAATAATAATAATAAAAAATAATATATATAAATAAAATAAAAAATGTTTGATTATAGGGGTCGTATACTAAACGTATTGCAGTATTCTACTGTATTGCATAGATAGGTATAACATTTGAGTAGCCTACTGAATAAGCCAAATTCAAGTCTTCATGATCTCACACACACAGCCTGTTTACTGTAGCCTACAAACACAAAATGTTTGCATTTCTAGTACAACCCTCTTTCTTTAGCTCAAGTATGCAAACCTCTTTGCCACATGCACTGGAATATGTATTATATTGAAAGTTAAATTTTCAAATGAAAATGGCAACATGATCGTTTTATAAAGTACGCGTTCATATGTGCTTCATTTTCGCTGGAGGAAACAGCGGTGGTGTGATGAGGGGTGAACGCAGTGAAAACTTAGGCTACAGTAGATGGGGAACCGATTATTGCTCCCCCGTGATATTTTGTAAACTGGATTTATGACAAAGAACTGCACAAATGCATGATATTATAACAATCTATCGATAAACACACACCTTGTCCTCTGTTTCTCGCTCTGCACCGCCGCAGTCTGTTTCAGGAGGAGCCGATCGAAGTCTGCCGCCATTTTCATATAAAGTTTAAAGGGTTAGTTCACCCAAAAATTACAATTCTGTCATTAATTACTCACCCTCATGTCGTTCCAAACCCGTAAGACCTCTGTTGATCTTCGGAACACAAAATAAGATATTTTTGATTAATTCTGAGAGCTCTCGGACCCTCCCATAGACAGCAATGTAACTACCACGATCAAGGTCCAGAAACCTAGCAAGGAGATCCATAAAATAATCCATGTGACATCAGGGGTTCAACTGTAATTTTATGAAGCTACGAGAATACTTTTTGTACGCAAAGAAAACAAAAATAACGACTTTATTCAACAATTCATCTCCTCTGTGTCACTCTGATGCAATTTTGGAGAATATCCACTGAGGTATGCTATTCTGTGTCAGCGCACCACACGGATAGGTTGTTTTCGTTCAAATCAAAGTGTAAACAAGTAGAAAATGTCTATGGGAGGGTCCGAGAGCTCTCAGAATTCATAAAAAAAAATCTTAATTTGTGTTCCGAAGATGAACGGATGTCTTACGGGTTTAGAACGACATGAGGGTGAGTAATTAATGACAGAATTTTCATTTTTGAGTGAACTAACCATTTAAAGGGGACTGAGGCGATCCCGAATTCGTGTAGTTTAAAGAGCTAATGGCAAAATATAGCTATAGCCCCCCTAAAAATGGCCTAGCGATGCCCATGGGCTTGATTGACAGTAAGCATGACAGCCTGGTCATCAAACAAATGCCTAAAGAAGGTACAGTGTCTGCATTATACATTTCCTCTGAGAAACACTGTTAAATCAATTCAGACATAAAACACACAGCGTACAATTCTCAATAAAAATACAATCTGCTTGTTTTGTAAGCTACAACCTGCAACCACTATACTAAAGTTCTGTAATTCTGTAATTAAAACACTATGCAAACTACACAAAGGTAGGCAAATAGAGGAAACAGTGTGTCTCCCAAATAAGCGGTTCATTTAACCGTTGTAGGATTTAATAATACAAGGAAAGCTACAACACAAAGGTATGCTAAAATAAGAACAAGAATGAAAACGTGAAAACGTGGAATATGTGGCCTGGGAAAGCTATTCATAGTGAATTAGTGAATACCTTTCTTGTACGGAAAATATTTTGCTATTTTGCTCCAACGTAAAATTATTCTTGAGTTACATATGCATCAGTAAAGAAATGACAGATGAAAAGCATTTCACAACAAGCGGCAGCACACAAAGTGATGCTAAGCTATTATGTATCAGCCAGGAATATTAATCTGTCATACAGCAGCTTCACACCTCTGTCGACATCACTTTCACTTGGCTTTCATTGCTGAACAACTGCATAATTGAACTTAAACTGTATTTACGTACCGGTTTGGACTAAGCAAAAATCCCTCGGCAGCTCAGCTCCACGAACTACGTTTATAGTTTAGAGATATAACGCGATAGAAAAACCCCTGCTGTTGTTATCCAAGCGGTGGAGGAAACGGTTCATAACACAGAGGCGGGTCAAGCAGCGCAAGACTGTCGCTTCCAGCCAATAGCGACATGAAATTGCAAGAGCCAAAATTCAGTCACACCTACACAAGTTTCATATTAATACGCATGCGCATGACAATGTGGCTTAAATGACCAGTTATTTGGGGGAAACATTGGCAGAGACCTTTGTTAAAGCTTTTTCATGGTCATTATTCAGTCATGTAACCGCTGCTGAAATAGCGCCTTGTCACGCCTGGCCTGTTACATTTCTCAGCGCTGGTCATAAACGACCAATTACAGTCGTTTGTGATTATAGAATGAGGATTTAAAAAGAACTATAGAAATCGCTGTGAGTGATTTCAGTTTACGTATTCGCTATAAATCCTTGCAAAATTATATTAAAGATTACACATGTTGATTAAAGATCACACGTTAGTGTACAAAAGTCTCCAGTGAGGGAAAAAGCGACGTGTTTGCCCCTAAGCGCCCCCTGGAGGATTAAAGGGGACTGAGGCGATCCCGAATTCGTGTAGTTTAAAGAGCTAATGGCAAAATATAGCTATAGCCCCCCTAAAAATGGCCTAGCGATGCCCATGGGCTTGATTGACAGTAAGCATGACAGCCTGGTCATCAAACAAATGCCTAAAGAAGGTACAGTGTCTGCATTATACATTTCCTCTGAGAAACACTGTTAAATCAATTCAGACATAAAACACACAGCGTACAATTCTCAATAAAAATACAATCTGCTTGTTTTGTAAGCTACAACCTGCAACCACTATACTAAAGTTCTGTAATTCTGTAATTAAAACACTATGCAAACTACACAAAGGTAGGCAAATAGAGGAAACAGTGTGTCTCCCAAATAAGCGGTTCATTTAACCGTTGTAGGATTTAATAATACAAGGAAAGCTACAACACAAAGGTATGCTAAAATAAGAACAAGAATGAAAACGTGCACATTGAGAATATGTGGCCTGGGAAAGCTATTCATAGTGAATTAGTGAATACCTTTCTTGTACGGAAAATATTTTGCTCAGTATAAACAACGTAAAATTATTCTTGAGTTACATATGCATCAGTAAAGAAATGACAGAAATATAACCCGATAGAAAACCCCCTGCTGTTGTTATCCAAGCGGTGGAGGAAACGGTTCATAACACAGAGGCGGGTCAAGCAGCGCAAGACTGTCGCTTCCAGCCAATAGCGACATGAAATTGCAAGAGCCAAAATTCAGTCACACCTACACAAGTTTCATATTAATACGCATGCGCATGACAATGTGGCTTAAATGACCAGTTATTTGGGGGAAACATTGGCAGAGACCTTTGTTAAAGCTTTTTCATGGTCATTATTCAGTCATGTAACCGCTGCTGAAATAGCGCCTTGTCACGCCTGGCCTGTTACATTTCTCAGCGCTGGTCATAAACGACCAATTACAGTCGTTTGTGATTATAGAATGAGGATTTAAAAAGAACTATAGAAATCGCTGTGAGTGATTTCAGTTTACGTATTCGCTATAAATCCTTGCAAAATTATATTAAAGATTACACATGTTGATTAAAGATCACACGTTAGTGTACAAAAGTCTCCAGTGAGGGAAAAAGCGACGTGTTTGCCCCTAAGCGCCCCCTGGAGGACAAGCTCTTTGTATCCACAGAGGAAACAGTTGCATTATTAGTTACCAAAAATAATTATCCCTGTCAAACAAAGGAGTATGTATTCAATGTAGATCTAAGATTAGATTCTCATAACAATGCAATTGCATAAAAATCGTCAAACTGCATGTAAATTAGAGACTTTTGATTTAATGGTAAAGCAGAGACAGACACGTCGGTAACAAGATAACACACAGTTAAAAGAGAGTGAAAAAATACAAGGAGAAATGCATATAAAACACACTAATCAAGTACTAATTAACAGCTTTTAGAGTTCATATAAACCCTTTAACATCTGAATCTTTTCATAGCAACAGATTACGAAAAATAATTTTCAATGCGGTACAAAAGGCTAAACAATTAGAATAAATTAAACTCATTCATACTTATCAAATTGTCGTTTTAAAATCGTTTACTTCTTAACTAATGACCAAACTTAAAAGTTGGGCATAGAAAGAACAAAAACAAACAAAACAAAAAAAAATCAAGACAAAGTCAATGTTTATAATTCCATCGACCACTAAGTGTCACTAGATCCCATGGGTGATATTTTTGGGTCGACAGCATGTATTTTTTATGTAAAGAATGGAGGTCTATCAGGAAATGTTTGACCTCCAGTGTGTCTCTCATCATCAGTTTGAATATCACCTGTGACCCTGAGTTTTGTCTCAATCTCTGAGCCTGTGTCCCAATGTGCATACTATCCATCCTAAATTCTATGTGATATTAGTCATTTTCAATACTATTTGGTGCAGATAGTGTGGATAGTATGCACATTGGGACGCAGGGTGAGCTTGATGGTCACTTAAAATGTAAAGTTCACCAGATTTGAAAGTACTAAAACCATAAAGCACAAGCTCGGAATCTGCTAGAATTCACAAGAGTAGGCCTACTTCACAAGCACACATGCACAGTTTTGATATAGTCCCCAATAAATCAACGGACAATACCACAATGCAACAGGATTTGCCATTAGGGACACAAATTTCTTACATTTTCTTCCTGTCCAGTAAATTTGACACTGATATGGCATCTCAAAAACACAACACTGAGCTAATATTGATAAATGAGATTATATGAGATATATGCAATTAATCAGTATATCATATATCAATTTATTGATGGTTATTTTATAATATTTATATTCAATATTTATTGATATTGAATATAAATGGTAGAAGCTGTCTTACACAATCCAGTCCACAGCCAACATGAGTGACAGGTCATGGGTGGGCAGACCTATGGCCTCCAGAATGATAGCGATGGTGATGATGCCTCCAGCTGGAATACCTGCTGCTCCCACACTGGAGGCAGTGGCTGTCACCCTTTGAATAAGCAAATAAGCAGTCATTTAGCAGATGCTTTTCCTAAGTGACAGTACCATGGTGGCTTCATTGAATGCATTGAAAAAGCGAATGAGCTCTTCTCCTTCTGCACCAAGCTTTCTCAAAGCAACTCCAAAAACCATAGCAAAGAGAACAAGGCCCAGAATATTCATTCCATCTGCATCTGTTCCATAGGGAACCTGAAAACCACCAGAACATGTTTGTCTTTGGCTTACATAAGTGGACAATCAAATAATATTGCCATTCAGCATTTTTTTTTTAATGTTTTCGTGGCAGCACACAGTTGGTCAAAGGTGAACAATGCAACAGCAAACTAAATTAGAAGCTGACATTGTTTTAAGCAACAAAATGTGACATTAAAGTGCTTTGATAAATGCTGATTTTGCTAATTAACCTATATTATCTATTGTTCCCACTCATATTCCCTGTCACTGAATTGGATATGATTGTGCATGGACAAGTGACTTTCAAAAGACGAAACATGATGAAGCTTGGCTCTCAGTCTGACTTTCCCTCAGTGGTGGTGGCAGTGGGGTGATGAAGATCTGACGGGACTGAGCTACCGTTCAACTGAATCCTGCCCTTGTTCTGGGCTTTATCGCACATCCAGGCATGGCTCATCACTTGGCACACAGTACTGGTTGTTCTGTAAGCCCTACTTATGCAATTATGGACCTCAAGCGTTCTGAGGGATTGCCCACATATTTGTCCATGCACCAGCAGATATGAGACATTTTAGCTGAGCCAGGATGTAATGAAGACCCAGTCATTTATACAAAGGCTAATCACATACAGCAGTACATAGTGTAGTTCAGATGCAATATGTTAACTTCTAATTTTTGCATAATTTGGACTGAATTTGAAAGGAAACGTTGATGGAATAGATTTAAACATATTAAATTGCAAGTGGTAGGATATAAACTTTCATATTCTGTGGCGATTTGCATGCTTGTGGGACAGGATTTAACTGATTGTACTAATATAATGATAGAAAAACAAATGTTCATTAGAAATAAAAAATAATTTAAAGTCTGCACACCGAGTCATTCTGCAAGCCCATTGCTGAGACTAGAATGCAGACACATGAGAGGCACATTGAAAAAGCCATCTAGGAAAGGCTTGCCATCTCCAGCTGCTTGATTGTTCAGTGGGACAGGAGCAGCAAAACCAGCTGCGTCAACCCTGGCCCTGTGCAAACAAAGAGCAAGCTCATTCAAGGCTGCCAAAGAGTCAACACTACTGAGTGGTCGGACATAAAACCAGCCAAGAGGCCCCAATTGGACTTGAGTTTTATTTTTTTAAGAAGCACAAAATTACTGGGTTAAACTGACATTTCAACAAGTGGCATGATGTGTGTGTTGACAATTGTGTATTTGACGGTGCATTCTTAACATAGGAAAAGGACTGTAAGAAATTATAGTCTGACTCGACCCAGCTTCCACTCCAAATTGTGTATTAAACTATGCTCCTTTATCTACAAAGAGCTTAATTATCATATAGATAGTTCTTTCCGATCTTAATCATATGTAAATAGTAACATTACCTCTGAAGATAGTGTGGGAGAAGCAGCAGGTCATCAAGAACCATCTGCTGACCAAAAGGGTACATGAAATAACTGCTATGGATTCTGTTTAATCTTATCACCTTAACATTTGGTTCTTCCCACTTGAATCTACCGAGGATGTGGGACCGGAAGACTATCACTTTAACTGTCATCCGCAATTTACATTTAAAACGAAACTTAATTTACATGTTGAGAGGGAAGATAAACGTAATACTGTATAAAATGATTGAGCTTAGGATGTTCGGGGTTCATTCTGTCTCCGCTGAACCCAAGGTACTAGGCTACATGTACTTTGTCACTACTATTCTGTAATAAAAGTTATTCTTCAAGATCTTCGACGTCTTCACTTTTTCTTACAGGACCTAATGCTAAATAACAAATAATTACATGTATTTTGTATTATTATAAAGTAATAATAAAATATTATTAGAAAATGAAGAGATTGTGTACCTTCTGGTAGTTGAGGGTTCCATTTGTTCCATTTCCAACAAGAATTGTCTTGTAATCAGTGACATACTGTGACAAAAGTAAGAGACAGAGAAGGACAACATCTTGAGCTACATGCAGTGCTTATCACAGAGCTATTCTAACCAGTTTCAATCCATTCCAGTGTACAGCTTCATGAACTGTGATGCATTTGATTATTTCTTTGCACTGAGCCTGTTTCTAGTGCCAAAATACTCACAAAAGCAGCATTTAAAGTTTAGCTGAAGAGGACTTTGAGACTGGTGTACACAGAGACAATGGCAGTGATCCCCCACAGAACCCCTGTTCCTCAAAAACTCCAATTATATGAGCTGGAGCACTCAGTTTAGTTTTTGTGAATCCTTACTCTCTCAAAAGTAGAAATGGAACAGGTGAGGTAAGAAATAGAAATGGTAAAAAAAAAAAGTGCTGTCAAGCGATTAATCGTGATTAATCGCATCCAAAATAAAAGTTTTTGTTTACATAGTATATGTGTATGTACTGTGTATATTTATTAAATATATATAAATACACACACATGCATGTATATATTTAAGAAAAATATGTTACGTTTATATATTAAATATATTTATATATAATATAAAGTTTATGAATATAAATATATACATGTAAATACATGTATATATTTTCAAAATATATGCTGTATGTGTGTGTATTTATATATACATAATAAATATACACAGTACACACACATATATTATGTAAACAAAAACGTTTATTTTGGATGCGATTAATCGTTTGACAGCCTTAGTAAAAAAATTATCTTCTTTTTGGTGAAGTAAAAAAATACAAGATGGATGGCATGTTTTCATAGAAAAACTTGTTTTTACATATTAAAAATCGGCGCAGTGGATTGCAAAAATGTATTTGTGTGAAATTGCTCTAACGGTTCAGATGCTGTATCTATATAATGCGTCTTTAACTGATATTAATTTACAGTGTTTGTATAATCTGATGTTGCAGTGATAGCAAAATTAAAACCCATAAACATATGTCAGTTAAGACAACCTGGAATATATCTACAAGAATTAGTTCAGACCAGTCTGTTTGTAACAGGCCATTAAAATAATTCCCAGGCATTTCTGTATTAATCCTGCTAATCTCTGTCTCTTCTCTTTTAAAGCCTTTCTGGCCTCCATCCAGGTAAATGTCGATGGAAATCCCACTGGATAAAGAAACATTCTCCCACTGGATAAAGAAACATCCCATCTGCACCTAATGACCCTGTTTCTCTTTCTAAATCTACTTTGGCCTCTGCAAAAACATATTTTTTTTACAAATTGATAACTGGGTGCCCGTTCGGTTTGTGTCAATCGGGTCGTCCACATGCTCCGGTCTAGGCACAGAGGTGTTATCTCCCACCCTGGCCACCGAACCTCCTGATCTCTCTTTGAGCAGAGCGTGCTCACTGTTGAGCAGTTGCCTGTGTGGTACAACCCAGTGAACCAAGCCAGGTTGCCAGGCACCAAGGAATGGAATCAGCTTGCTATGGTAACTGCCTGGTTGTTTAGTGGTGAGAGAGGATGGGAGGTATTTATTGAGCAGGGACAAAAATGGTTACTCCATTTTGTGACTCTCTCAATTAGAGATGAAGGAGCTGTTAACATGGAGCAAATGGTCTACAAATATTAATTCTGAACATATATGTTTGTGTGAGTGTGTGTGTTTTAGTGACAGCTGGAGGAAAAAAGTAACTTACTGAGCGGAAAGCTGCGGCCACCAGGTTGGATGGAAACAGGTTTCTGAAAAGGAAAAACAAGCAAGAAAGATAAACCAGTGATGTGTAAAACTGAGCTCTTATCATCACAGATGGACACCACTGATGTTTCTTTGCTAAATTCCCACCAGTTTGCAGCATGAGTGACCCATAAAGGAAGTTTTGCATTGATCAGTACAAATCAATATTTGTATCTGCAAATCCATATCCCAAATCATTCACTTGGGCTACAGAATGGATTATTTTAAACTAAACTGAGTTGAGTTCTTATTCATCATATGACCTGCGTTAAAAAGAGGATTTATCTAGTAACCCTGTGAACTATGAGGCAAAAAGAAATGTATTTTCTTCAGATTCATGCAAGCCTAATATACAGTTGTTCTTCAAGTTTATTACATAATTTCACAGCAGATTTATATTCCAACAAGAAAAACCTTTTTAATAGGTCTCAGGTTTCAAGATATGGGCACCTTTGTCCCACATAGATTCAACAACTAAAAAGTGTATTTTTTGTGATGTAATTTCAGATTGGTAAAAAAGAAGGATAGTGATTTTAAATTGATAGTAAACATGTTTGCTGGAATCTACAAAAAAAAATCTTTAAAAAAGTTATTTTCATTTATGAAAAATCCCATTTTCAAATGTATGTTGCTGATTGACAAACTAGATGTTTTTGGCTAATTTGGTGCTTGTTTTTTACTAGTCCATGGTGGTCTACCAGCCCTAACCAGTTTGATCCAGGTCTAGGTCGATCACAACCCCACTAGATGGTAGTCTGTTTTGGAGCAGCTAAAGACTATTAAGACTATTTGAAGAGTTCAGATGCAAAAGCCTCTAAGTATCTTTTGAAATTTTCTTATAAATTAAACATTTTTCTACCTATGTGTAGGTTTAGTCATTTCGCTTGAATGGCAATGAATATGTTCTTTTCTTTGCCATTAAAGTGAAATAACTGAACATAAACATAGGAGCCTGAGAAAAATATTCATTTTAGAAGAAAATTTCAGATGGCACTGCGATTTTTTACTATTAAAAAATCATGTAAAACCAGCCACCATCAGAAAAGTAACACAGCCTTATTTCTGTCCTAAATAGCACCGCAACAGTTGGGCCGTTATGAAATAACCTGGCTTCTAACTGTTGTATGACATGATGATGTATGCCAGGATAACTAATAATATATGATAATTAATGATTAAAATCCATCAGAGCAGTTCTATAAAGTGTCACACTATACCTTGACATGTTAAAACAGACTAACAAATTAAAAACTAAATAATTTTTGTTGACACTTATTAATTGATTAGTAAGTTTAGAAGCTTATCAATCATATTTACTCCGCTTTTGCTGAACTCACACTGTGTGGGATAAAACTTTCTCTTGCAAGAAATATGAGCATTTTTCCAGCAATTTTTTTCCCTGTCTCTGGTAATAATTAAATGCAAATCAATTTGTCATTTAAATGCCTAAAAAAGAAAAGAGGATGTAAAGAATGAACTCGAGTGTTGCACACACACAGCTAATCATGCCGGGAACTTGCAGGCGCGGATTAAGCGCTGCCATATAGTGGACTGCTGTTTTTCTCACATTGAGGAGATAGGCTATTGTTATTATTGTTAGCATTTCCATTACCAAATAATACCTGGCAAGGTCTAAAAACGAATCTGCTGTCTCTTTGTTGGAGCTCAAGCCTTCCAGCCCTAAATTGTTGGTGTTCAGCGCTCCCGCTCCCACGCCGGGTTTGATGATGAAGGCGAGAGCTACCCCGATAGATGAAGCGATCAGAGTGGTCACCAGAAAGTAAGACACGGCGATCCCTCCGAGCTTCCCCAGCGAGCGCGTGTCCATACTCGCAGCGCCAGAGATCAAACTGCAAACCACTAAAGGAAGGATGATCATCTTGAGCATCCTCAGCAGCATCTCTCCGGGGAAGGCGAAGTAAGTCATTTGCGCTCGGGTTAGGTTCATGTTCCGGACCATCATCCCGAGCCCAACGCCCACCAGAACCCCGGACACCGTCAAGATCACTAGGAGGTTTCTTTTGAAGAAGACCATTAACCGGTCTTTAAAGCTGTTCTTTTCTGATTTGATCGAGACCGCTGGTAACGGGCTTTTGTGGCCGGCGTGTCCATTGATTTCGCTCTTCTTCTCCTCCATGTTTTTCTCTACACGCTCAGTCTTTCCACACGTTTAAAAGCGGTACCAGGCTTTTCTCATCAGCCGCGTGCGCGCTGGGAATAGAGCGGACTGGAGAGCGCTTGTAAAATCCAGCCGGCACTTATAGACACGTGCTGCATCTACCAATGACGAGGAGGGGTCTTTTAAAGATGAGGATCTAGGACATGCGCACTCCTGGACCAAGATGAAATGATGCAACAAGGCAAAGGGTTGCTGATATCCATGCATATTATTATTATTATTATTATTATTATTTATCTATTTATGTTCATGTTTTATGAACAATGGCAAGCATATATATATATATATATATATATAATATATAATGTATAGATTACTGTACTAAAGAGAAAAATGAAATATGTCTATAATATTATATTGTTTGTATTTATATTTATATATCTATTGTCATTTATAATAATATATGAATAAAATAAGGCACAGTGTTAGCTTTTCATTGTTAAAGTCATATTATTCACATATATTCATGAAGGACACAAAATTATTTTTTATTGAATGACCCCATTATTATTGCTGTACGTTATTGTTGTTTGTCATTTTTAGAGCAATTTTGGATTTATTATTATCATTATTATTAACATTTGCAGTTTTTCAGCATTTGCAACATATTTTGTGAGGGTTATGTGTTTTAATACGATACTCAAATGATATAGCCCATAATTTTAGACTCCCACCTACATTTTGCCCCAAGTTAAATATCAGTTCTTTTTATCTGTAGTTGCTTTCCCCTGAACCTCAACTATTCTGTTCCAAAAATAACATTTCACAGCTGCCAAACCAGGAGCAGGAAGCTGAGTGTGCTCTCCAGGCGTTACTATAATACACTGAACTCACTCCACTGTGAGGAGGCTTGGACAAAACAAGACTGTGAAGATTTTAGGCCCAAGATGGTTCCAAAATCTCTTCTGGTACACTGAAAAGAGTCTTAAGAAAGAGCTTGCATTAAAGGTATGGTATTGTTAAAAGCATTGTAAACGTAATACTATGAGATAGAGGGTAAACAAATGTCTGACCTTATGTAAAATCTAACCACATCCTGCAGCTGTTGTCATGCTTAAGAAAGATGAGCTCTCTCCATATGACCCCCTCCTAATCTAGTTACAAATCTGATATCTGTGCCAGATTTACCTTAAATGTATTTGATGGTTTACTTTGTAGAACAATTGGTTCAAATTTGACTTCCATTCCAAAATATGGCTTCTATATATGTAATTTGGGGATGTTTAAAGTAAACCTGCTTCTAAACATATATTTTGTTTACTCATTAGTACAGTAATCTGTACATTATAAGCAACATCTATAGTCTACTGTGCTTTTTTGTCATCTAATGTGTTTAAAACCAGAAATGAACAGAGGCAACAAGACTGTAATGATATTCTACAACCACCTGATGGCGTTCTTTTGTCTTGTAAAGTCCTTTCTCTGTTTGAGAAAAATACTGGGTGTGATTGTAAATCCTCAGGCACTACTGATCATTGCTTATTCGACATATAAGCACAAAATCTTGTAATATTATGTCAATGTACTGCAAAAATATACGTTATTTTTGTTCTTCTTCAGCCTTTTATTCTTGTAAAAGTAATGTTAATAATTAATGGTGATTTGCTTCATTATGGTGATTTATGCAGTCACTTCTCTCAATGAGAATTATGACAACATTACACTTACATTATACACTTTATATTGTCATAAATATTGTTATTTTTAAGAGACCTACAATCTAATACGGAGGTTATGGTAAGCAGATAATGACCAGTCTGTTAGGACAGCAAGCTTTACCCTGAACACCTGAAATCAAATGTCAGACTCCAAGATTAATGACTGTTTGCACTTATTCCATCAGACCACGCACCATCAGCTGTGTCACACACACACACACACACACACACACAATGTAGATAGACTTTCTTGGCCCTTTGTCCCATTTAGACAAACATTAGTGTAAACACTCAGTATTCTCCTTTGCTGGTGAATTCACCGAAGAAAAAGCATGTGAGAGAAAACATATTTCCCACTTTCCCTGATTTTTTCTTTTTAGTTAATGCCTATTTTCCGCAGTGGCAGGCTTTTTTGAACACTCCATTTCCTGTTATGCAGTAGAGACTGAACTTGTAACAAAAAAGATTGAGCCAAGCTGTCGGTGGGCATCTTGCCAGAGCATGCTGCCTTTTCTCAGTTCCGCCACTTGATGAACTCAAACCTGGCGATCTCAAACTTACCACTCACACTTCAAGTAGCTATTACAGCGACACATAGCAAAATATATAAGGATTATATATTTTAAATATACATTTTAAAGTATAGATATGTTTCTCTCATCGTGCTGTAAACACCAAATTACTAGTCTGTTAGGTTCTTTAAATAACATGACGAACGGCAGCCTGTTCTGCATTTTGGTTGGCTGATTCTACCAGAGGGGGCGGGGCGTATGAACTGGGACTCCGCCTTGTCTCACAGAACAAACTATCTTTCAAATCCAATGTCTTTCTTGCAACTGCGGCTACGAGGAGAGTCACTGAAGGCAACCTGCCTACTACTTTTGGGGACACTTTGAAGTGTGACTCTCATATGTGCAACTGTTTACTCTTTTCTCAGGCTGATGAGGCACGGGGCGCTCAATAAGTGCCATGTGAATTCATGTTGACTAGCAAGGCAAGGCATGCAGAATGCACTGATACTATGTAAACGCATTCGAGAATAAATCCGCTGAGATTTACACTCATTTAACGGGATCGTACAAGTCCTTCAGAGGGGTGAGTGGATGTTCCTACTGAATTATCAACATAAAGTCCTGTGTTTTGACAGATCAGACTTGATGTGGGTCTCTCCTGCAAGCGTGTATTGACCCCAGCAGTAACCTGTTTGCATACAGTAGCCTACACACGTCTACAAACTTGGCATATCTGTAAACACAACATGCCAGTAGAAGCCCACCACTGGCGTCTTCTGGATGCTAAATAGTTGGTGTTTTAAACGAGGAACGCCACATGACATACTTATGATTGCTGCGTGTTCATAGCTTTCTGTAATCGACCCTAGTAAACAATATTTTTGTGTGATTTGGTTTTATTATATAACTGTTCTGAGGCCGTTGACTTGACAGTGATCTCCCGTATCGCGTACAGATTTTTTGTACAGTAGCCATGCTAGATTAGTATCACTAAACGACTGAAGAGTCTTCTTTTATCAGTGTTTTCAGAGTTTTTCTTCTTCTGATAAACTGGCTTCAATATAGAAATATGTTTTAGAAGGGTTTTCAAACAACTTTTCATTTACCTGAAAAATGTTTACATGACTAATTTTAGTAAAATTTAAGGGAAAATTTAAACTTTAGTCTAAGCAGGTTTCTGTTGGTCAAAGCAGTGAATTCATATGACCAGCTTGAACATGAGTGAAATTCGTTCCAAAGAAAAATTTTGATTGCGTAAAAAATGCACCTCAATCGATTACAACCAGAAAGTAATTTAATGAAAAGTCTTTTAAAGTTGTGATTAAATGGAAGCAGTGAATTTAAAATAATTGTGACATATATTCGAGTGTAATGGGTTATTGAAAAGAAAAAAAATGTAGGGCAAGGACTTGGATCAGTTCACTGGTTGTTGATTGGACCTTGAGATGTGGACGGGGTTTAAGCAGACTTTATGATTGGAGAAGTCCTGCATAGGTCACCCAGAGAAAAGTCTGTTTCACAAGAAGATAGAGTTATGATATTTTGATTGAAAAATAACATGCATGAGTTAATCATTTACAGTAATATTAATATGCATTAAGAAAATAATTGTATTGCACACCAACTTTAAAAAGTTGACCTTCTTGAAAATAATTATTACACTGCTAAAAAAATTATATGTTACATGCATGAAAATTGAACTGCAGTAGACTGAAATAACTGCCTTGAAGTTGTACATTTCTCAAACATTTATTTTCTAGTTAGATAATAGAAATCTAAGTATAGGATGCCTGGAAGTGAACATGTAGACATCAGCATGGGGTCAAACTGGACATACCGATAAGGAAGCCCCACTGGTTTGTGTTTCCTGCCTATCTGAAATCCAAAATGAAAATTGAGTCATTAATCACTTACCCCCACATCGTTCCAAACCCGTAAAAGCTTTGTTCGTCTTCGGAACACAATTTAAGATATTTTGGATGAAAACCAGGAGGCTTGTGACTGTCCCATTGACTGCCAAGTAAATTACACTGTCAAGGTCCAGAAAAGTATGAAAGACTGAATCTGCCATCAGTGGTTCAACCGTAACGTTACGAAGTGACGAGAATACTTTTTTGTACTTTTTTGTAAAATAACGACTTTATTCAACAATTCGTCTCCTCTGTGTCTCTCAGATTAGGGTGTGTGCTGCTGTGTACAGTGCTCTGTTCTGTTGGCTCAGAGAGCTCAGAGTTCACCGTAGAGCCAATTTGGAGAATATCCGCTGAACGCAAGCAGCGTACTCTCTTCTGTGTCAGCCGCGACACAAGGATACGTTTTCTACGCGTATTTACGCTTTGATTTGAATTAAAACAGCGCATCCGTGCAGCGCTGGCTGACACAGAATAGCATACGCTGCTTGTGTTCAGTGGTTATTCTCCAAAATGGCGCTACGGTGATGCAGAGAGACACAGAGGAGACGAATTGTTGAATAAAGTCGTTATTTTCGTTTTCTTCACGTACAAAAAGATATAATGTAGACATAACGTTACGGTTGAACCACTGATGGCAGATGGACTATTCAGACGATGACTTTCATACTTTTCTGGACCTTGACAGTGTAATTTACTTGGCAGTCAATCGGACAGTCAAAAGCCTCCCGGTTTTCATCCAAAATATCTTAAATTGTGTTCCGAAGACGAACGAAGCTTTTAGAGGTTTGGAACGACATGGGGGTAAGTGATTAATGACAACATTTTCATTTTGGGGTGGAGTATCCCTTTAAGGCAAGAGTTTGGGAATGGCGGATTAGAGACGCATCTAATTTAGTTGATAATCCAGATTAGGGTGTGTGCTGCTGTGAACAGTGCTCTGTTCTGTTGGGTCAGAGAGCTCAGAGTTCAGACTCGTCACCTCATTAGAGGTCACTGTTGACCAATTAATACACTCTCCAGCCAGCCTGTTACGTTCTAATAATATGGTGTCAAAATTTAATGTTACATTTTTTACACAGTATTTTAGTCTAACACATATGACTAAACAAGACATTTTGTTGCTTGCTTTTTCCGATAGGCCTACAATGGCAAGCTTTTAAACTTTAAAAGGATGCAAAAGTGACTTTGGTTGTTGAATACAGTTGTCACTCCCACAAATAACCTAACTCTGTGTTTACAGAGTGGTATTAAGCACTCAGAAGAGAAGTTACAACTGTATTTAGCTGCAGTGTGTAGCCTGCATGGATAATGACAGTGTCCTGCATGGATATGACATTTACCAGTTAGGAGCCAGTCTTAATTACATAGTCTGTTTTGTGTTCCTTTAACATGTGCTTAGGCCCAGCCTGTGTCTTTAGTAGACTTCTCATGGAAGACTAGTTACATTTTTTACACAGTATTTTAGTCTAACACATATGACTAAACAAGACATTTTGTTGCTTGCTTTTTCCGATAGGCCTACAATGGCAAGCTTTTAAACTTTAAAAGGATGCAAAAGTGACTTTGGTTGTTGAATACAGTTGTCACTCCCACAAATAACCTAACATTTACCAGTTAGGAGCCAGTCTTAATTACATAGTCTGTTTTGTGTTCCTTTAACATGTGCTTAGGCCCAGCCTGTGTCTTTAGTAGACTTCTCATGGAAGACTTAAATCCATAATATAGCCATAGTTACATTTTCTGCCAGTCTATAATGTTTTAATGTGCTCTAAATTATGAGTCCAGTGTTACTGAATTGCTCAAATGCATTTGCATTGAATTCTGTGTAAATGAACTGCCAGTGCCTGGGGCAGTGACCTGCTTTTCATTATAATGTGCGGGAAGCACATTCACTGTATTGAACTCTGAAGCGTCAAGCACGTTGATGTCCTGGGGATTTTGAATGCTAAACCTCTAGGGAGGTGTGTCAAAACTCCCCTTAAGAACTTTATAACCTGTGGCCTGCATTTTCATGTATTGCTGTTTTGTATTGCTATAATATATTATAAACTGTTAATGTCACCACAGTTTGATCAGGACCAGACATGTCATTTCTTGATTAGTTTGTTTTCCTGCAGTTGGTCCAGGTATTTTTCATGTGTATTTTGTGTTGATCTTCAAGATGCTTCTGATTGGCAAAAAAAAACACATTGGAAACAGACATTTTGTTTATAAGATTCCAAATACAACTTTTATAGCACAAGAAAAATCTAGATAAATATTTTTTATACCTTCACAAAATCACTATCATTCCCCCCAGAAATTTTAACCTAGGCTCAAAATGTGCTTCTACTTAAATTTTACATACAATAAATGTATACATATAACATGAACACCAACTACTTTTATTCTTTTTTTACTCAAATTATAGTTACAGGGGTATATTATCGATTAATAAAGACTTGCACAATACTATGTTATTATGACATCAAAACACTTCATTAAACACTTGTAAACTAATATATGTTGAGATTTGCATCAGATAATCAGCTTCATATGTATGGTTTTCTGATGTAGTAAACTTGGTACGGATCTGAGAGCAAAAGACTATAAAGAAGCTCAGAACCAAGCAAAAATAACAAGCTATAGCTTCAACAAATGTATTATCTCATGTTTGATTTTGTTAACACTATTGCTTAAGTTTGGGGTACGTATATTTTTAAATGCGATAGGGAATTAACCTTTTAGCACCACTCACATATTTCATTTCCAAACTGGTGTAATATTACATACAACAACCAATGTAATAAAACATTGCCAGATTCATGTTCATCTGTTTCAGATCAAACTTAACGTGGTTTTAGCACCACTTACTGGACATTTCACTTTGAAAGTGTTGCAAAATGTGCAAGAACCAGTCGTTCATTTAGAAGGAAAGGAGCCAGGGTTGAGAAATGTGGTTGATCCTTTCATCCTCAGAGTCAGACTATTTGACATTGTACTTCCCCTTACGAATTTACCATAGCTATTCAGTTGTTTAACTGGCATATGTGATAATTAATGGATCCTGATTATCTGAACTCTGAAAGCAAATGCCATAGTTGTAATAAAAATACAACAAACTTCCTCATTCCCATGACTGATTATTGAATATGAATCTAGCCATGTTTCCACAGTAAATGGCACTTTTTTCTGTTGTCATTGGGGTTTAGAATGTTGACATTTTTCTGATTTCTTTCATAGTGTTTTAAAGTATAATATTCTTAAAGTATAAAGTTCAATTCAATGGTTCACACAAGTAATCTGCTTTATGTTATTCAGTCATACATATTGTGGTTCAGTTAGCAACCACATTTAGTGGTTCTCACATAAAAACACAGATTGCATCAGATATTATTCAATTCCATAAAATCACTTGCAAAAAATGCAGGAAAACCCAGTAAAGAATCTCAGTCTCTCTTGCTCTGTTTCTCTGGCATATTTTCAATGCAGCCTTTCTTCCCTCCTCTAGCATGAGAAACATTTCTGCTGCATGCATAAGTTGTGCATGAGTAGAATTTTCCCTCTCTCCTTGTATAAAATATTCTTGGTTGTCATGAGATGTTTGAATATTGTGGGTGGAAAATGGCAAATCAATAAACATTTCTGAATCCATTAATACATTGTCTGTAGGCACCTCTTTAAGTTGGAC